CATTCTCAACAATTCACTTCGTCAAACATAATTGGCTCAGTCTCACTGTGGGAAGGTAGCTAGGGTATTAGGTTGGCTTCCATGAGCTTTATCACTCCCAGTAGACTGCTCTGGTCTGGCTATGAATAGAATGCCTCGGTCAATTTTGTCCTGGTCCGAGTTTCAGAGGCACACTATGCTTCTAATATTTATTGTACACTTTTCTGTCCACAAGCTTCAGAATCCTGAAAGTGGCAATCCCACTCTCCTGGATGCACATATACTTGCACTGGACTCCAGTGGGTAAATTTTCAACACTGTGGCTCAATGAGGTTTTCAGAGCAAGATCTTGTTACTGAATTGGAGAAAAATAACATGACGTCATTGGATGTTTAAAGTTTTGTTTAAGGAAGTGGTGAGTAAACGTGAACTACCACTCACTCTATTTGCTGAAGGGTTACGGGGAAAAAAGAACAGTTCAAGTTCTTGAGGGTTATTTTATTTAACAGTTGTGGAATGGGAAAGTGAGAGTTGGAAGAGATTAGCTCTTAGCTAAGGTTTGACAAAATCAAAGACAGCGGTCTGGTAGTTAAACAGAGTACTTTTCTCTTACTTGTCCATCTTTCCTGACTACTGAGGGTTTTTTTGCCTTTGTCTCCCTGCTGTAAAATGAAGGCTGTTTCAGCCTCCAGCTGTGCCTGATCCTCATTCACCCTACCTGTTCAAATGCTTGGGTTTCTGCTAAGTGTGCTGACCTTGGTGTTGTAGCGATTGCTGTCCATACTGCGGTACCCATAAAGTAAGCCTGTTACTTTTTTACTGCTTAATTACAAAATCACAACATTTACTACATGAACATGTGTGTCAGTGCTTCCTTATTCATGAACTAGCTCACTGATGACAGCTCATTTTTTTTAGATGAGAGGGCTAAAGTCTATCATTAGCTTGACAGTGAAAATATTATGATTGAGTAAAGCATTATATCACAAAAACTCCTCAGTGGCTTAATTAAAAACAATGTAGGGCAAACTATTGATTGGATACTTTGATTGGAAAATTTGTGCTTAGTCTGTCTATGTTTAGTTTCCACTCCAAAAGCATTTTGGGAAAAAGATGATAGAGAAAATAGTACAACCTGCTGTATAAACTGTATTTCATCTGTGCCTTTGCAATCAAAAGAGAGATCAAATCTAGGGGGCATGTAATCATCTGACACAACTGCATGAAACTACAGTCTGGGCTAGAAAGAAATCAGCCCCAGCCTCACTTTTCTCATGATCAGTGGTGATGTTGCACTTTGTTCCACAAAAGTCCAGACTAACACATTTTAAGACAATTCTTTAAAAGCAAATAATGTATGTGGATGCCAGAAACCTTATCTTTAGGCTATTTAAGTAACTTTGGGACAATTCAAAATTTGCAGTGCAAAGCCAGCACCGCTAACTAGTTGCTTTGAGTTCACATGGTCCGAATGAAACCAGTTTCCTTGTGGGATGTTATGATGATAATCTTACAAGAGTCTGATCCATTCAAACACACTGTAATGTCATATGCTAATAAGAGAAGCTGTTAAAGCCTAACTTATACGTGATTTTAGAACACTGTATTATAAACTGTATGTTTCATACCACATGTGAAAATGGTAACAATATGTATATTTCATTATTATTTATAATAATATCCTGTGTTAGGGATTAGTTTAGAAATGGAGGTGCTTGAAACGAATAGTCAAAAGAGTCTCAAACTTGCATTATAGTCTAGAATCTGAGTTAACTTTGTTTCCAGACAGACTTTTCATAATGTAAACGATTATCTTTATTAATACTGTCATGAGTCATGATATTAATTAACAGAATGAGTTAACAAGATGTTAATATTTAACTAACCATCATTAATGGCTGATTATATAAGACTCAGAGGCTGTTAATGTATATGCTTCATTATTTCCTGATGTACTAAAGATTAGTACATGGATTAATTCAACATTATGAAAGCATTAGTTAAGTGTTATACAACAGTTAGTTCCAGTCCACTAATTTGACTGGCAAAGTGGCGTTCCAAGAGTGCCTTTTTTTGTCCTAGAACCTCACTGGGACGTTTCACTGTGTGTATCACTCCACTCGTCTGTGTTCGCCACATCAAATTCCACTTTCTAGCTCTAAACCGTTACGACAGTAGAGTTAGCGACATCATCAGAAGGCAGGTGAAAAGATACTTTTCAGTTCGTGTAACTTTTGGCTTAAAATATGAAAGCTTGTCAGATGAAGATGAAAAGGAAGAAGGGATGCCAATTTTACCTGAAGCGCCTTTAACAGGAATGTACAAATCAATGTGAGCTAGCTAGCCATCTAGCCAACGTGCTATAAAGTGAGTGTGGCTTCTTCAGGACCTATTTCTGCTAGCGTAAAAATAAACAGAACATTTGGCCACGTTTTGTCTGAAACGTCACTGTGCCAAATCACAGCTGTGTTGATATTCAGTATAACCGCAATCTTGCTTGTGTGATATTTGATAATATATTGATTATTTGTGGACCTTATAGTAAAGTGTTACCTGTTTCAGGGGCAAACTTAGCACTAGGCAAAGGTAGGCAACCGCCGTGGGCCCCCAGAAGCCAAGGGCCCCCTAAAAATGCAAATGATTTATATTTTAAATTATTAATGCTAAATAATTCCTATATTCCTATATTTTGCCTAGGGCCCCCAAATCACTAAAACTGCCCCTGACCTGTTTATTTGAGCCCTGTCTCCAAAAAAAGGTCTGTACGTGGGCCTGTAAACAGTTGTTTTGTTGTTAACTTGTATGTGTATGCCTTTTTCTACTCACCGAATAGGAAATGATCTGCCAGCCGCTGTTCCTGCTACCTAGAGCTGTTTTTCTCTGTTTGGAATCTGCCTGCATTGTTTTTGACACTTTCGCCCTTCATACGCTATTATCATTTATGTAGTTAACATGTAATTTATTCGTAATTTATGCACCTAACGTTTCTACATTGATAGGAAAATAAATGTGTGCTTTTCTAATCAAGACTGTGTCTTGCTTTTTAAAAAAAATAAGATTTAGCTACAGCAAAATGTGAATAATTTCCCATTTCTATTGTTATCTAATTAGATGCCTGTATGCATCTAGATGCCAAGCAATTACAGAAAATTAGCAGTGAGCAGAGTTTTGATGCAGATAGTTTGGAAACAGATAGCCATTGTGTTGTAGTTGTTGTTGTTGTTGTTGTTATACTCTGAGGGCTGGAGAAAGCCGAAGTCTCCCTCGTGAAGTGTGATGATGAGTGAAACCAGAGAAATAATGTTTTCCTCTCACACAGCAGCCAGGTGTTTTTCTAATAGGAACAGATTGATGCACAATTACGCTGAGCCAATATGTAGAGGAGATTTCATCACTGACGTTCCATGCAGGCACTCGCTTCCACACGTACAATCTCGATCATGCATTCTCATGCCTATTAGGGAATGTTCATGGCATATGTGTGCACTTTTTTATTTTCAGTTTTGAGGGGGATTTTTTTTTTTTTTGTACAAAGTCTATGGCTCCTCCTTAGTTTATCAACCCCCAGAAGAAAATTGCATTTCTGGAACTGAATCTGAATATATTGAATTGTGCTAGTGATCATGCCAGATGCCCTGGGCTCAACAGACACCCTAAAGTACCAGGATCATCTGCTTATCCTGATCAAATAAGCATAAAATCATTAACAGACGAGAAAAGTGCTTGTGCATAATTTGATACACAAGAAAGCATCCTTTGCCACAAGCATCAAACTGAATCTTGATTTTTTTCGTTTCTTTTTTTTTTTCAAAAGAGTTTGATTATACTTATTTCTAAAAGAAGTTTACTTGCTTGATGAAAGCAACACGTGTGGTCCACCACCACCACCACCATCTTTAATGTTATGTTGTATAGGTCTACAAGAAAAAAAATGTTCATTTTATATACATTACATTTAAGACCCTCACAGATCATCTACGTGATTTTGGAAAGCTTCGAAAAGTTTTCACATCCTTCTAGCCATCATTGATTTCAACCCTCATAATCAACCGATGATTACAACTGCAAGGTTTTAAAATTGTTTTCATAGAGAATAAAGAACTTGATGTACCACACTGTAATTTGTCAATTCTGTTTAGTGCAACATGCAAGCTTTTGAGTTGAGAAATTACTACTCTGTAGAAATGTAGGTACTTGTCCATAGCAGCAATTGTGTATTGTTCATGAATATAATGAATAGTACACAGTTTGAGACAATGCCATGTGATATGATAGGCAGCGCTTATCACAGCTCTGAGCTTCATCTCTTCCTCGGCATTTTCCACTCATTTGCAACAGTTTCTTGCTTATTAATAAATTAAAGGACACTTATGTACTTCCTGGATATCTTTTGTGTGCTTGCAGCATGAATATTAAGTTCTCCGCTTCCCTGGTTTCCTCTTGTTTCTAGTTGTAGTACTGCCGTGTGCTTCCATTGCCTGCATGTTTCTGTGTGATAAATACAGTCTGCCCGTATTCCTGGAAAAGCTTGGAACCGCCCCTAAAAGACTCAGCAGCAGCTCAGGACCATAGATTTTGGTGGGGAAGCGCAACATTAATAATGTAAAAGAAGTTTACTTGCTTGATGAAAGCATCACTTGTGGTCCTCCACCACCACCACCACCATGTTTAATGTTATCTTATGTTGTATAGGTCTACAAGAAAAAAGTGTTGTTTTTAGATCAAATCAGATTATTCGAAGACCCTCACAGATCATCTACATGACTTTGGAAAGCTTCAGAAAAAGTTTTCACATCCTTCTAGCCATCATTGATTTCAACCCTCGTAATCAACTGATGATTACTATTGAAAGGTTTTAAAATTGGTGGTTGTTTTAATAGAGAATAAAGGACTGGATGTTGTTCTTTCAGCTGCTCCCGTTAGGGGTAGCTACAGCGGATCATTGGTCTGCACATGTGATTTGGCACAGTTTTTACACTGGATGCTGCACTGTTTTGTGCAAATCCAGTGGCTGGTGTTGGTTCCCTGGCTGAGAATTGAACCCAGGTAGCGGCAGTGAGAGCACCGAGGTCTAACCACTAGTCCTCCGGGAACCCAATAAAGGACTGGATGTACCACACTGTAATTTGTCAATTCTGTTTAGTGCAACATGCAAGCTTTTGATTTGAGAAGTTACTACTCCATAGAAATGTAGGTACTTGTCCATAGCAGCAATTGTGTATTGTTTATGAATGTAATGAATAGTACACCGTTTGAGACATAGGCATGTGATATGATAGGCAGCGCTTATCACAGCTCTGAGCTTCATCTCTTCCCTCGCATTTTCCACTCATTTTCAATCGTTTCTTGCTTATTAATAATTAATAGTCTGCCCATATTCCTGGAAACGATTGGAACCCTCCCCTCCCACCTTTGACCCCTCAACATTTCATGTTTGATTACACATTTAATTAATTTCCACAAGGAACAAATGACTGACCCTTAAAAGACATGAGCAGCAGCTCTTGACCATAGATTTAGGAGGGGCAGGGCAACATTAATAACGACATAGCTTCAATAGTAACCTCATATTAGGCAGCTGAGAGTCAACAGCATACAGTCACCCAGCATATAGTCTAGCAGCTCATTTTGAAAGGTTTAGATGTACCTTTGTTTGATACAGCAGGTGTGTAACTATTGCCATTCTGACACTGTGAAATAAACACAGTAGAGCTAATAGAATTAGCCAGGTTTGTCAGGTTTCAGCAAAATTTCCAGCCCAACTGCATCTAAAAAAAAAACACACACACACAAAAGACTTGAAAAAATTCAGGCTTTGGAAAAGTGACCATTTATAATGTCTAGACATTATCCACTTTTATCCATCTGTTATATTGCAAAGAGTATCCATCTTTGCAATATATCTTACACTAGAAAGTGTTCTGTACACAATACACAAACTATATGCACTTACACTTTGCCTTTGCTTGCAGATTTAATTCTAATTACTTGCTGTAAAACAAGATCTTGGTGCGCACAGAGTATTTAAACTAGCAAAATATGGAGTAAAAAATGCAACCATGGCAACCCTGTCATTAACTGTCCTGTGCTTTCCTCCTCCACTGAAAATGTTCATAGAGCGAGCATGAGGCAGCGTAATTCCTGCCCCAATGGGCCTCTATTAGCACTTGTTGCATGTTTGACCACTAGGGGCAATAATAAGTCTATGGTGCTAAATGCCCTATGATGCAACATCTAGAAAGGCAACCAAATCAATGGAACATCAGTTTATATATGTCATTTTACATCATTAATAATTAGTATTTCAGTGGAATTTATAATGTGTGTTGTGAATGAGACTTCATGAAGACTCCTTTTAATGTAAACCATAAAAGAGCTGGAAAAATATACAAAGAGATTTTAAATCAGGACAAAGACTGATATATATCCACAATGCGCTCTCTGTACATGTGTGTTAGCTTTCAATATGCACTAATTTTAGTTGTTGCCTTACCCACAAACTGACTCATTCACTACCACACCAACCTGGTGTTCAAGCGTCTGCATGGTTAAAAGCATCTTTGTGTAGTGCCTGTATGGCATGAGCTCAGAGAGAGAGAGAGAGAGAGAGAGATGCATGTGGGACTGATCCGTGATTCACCCCATCATGTAGCCCAGCCAAATGCACCGCTAACTCCTTCCCGCAGTGGCTTTCAGCTCCGTAGACGAGGACAGTTGTATAATGACACAGAGCAGCAGTAATGCACAGGGTGTCAAATCAAGAACAAAAGTAAGAGTCTAATGAGAGATTCTCGAATTGAGGATCATATCAAAGCTAAGAATACAAAAATGTCTTATAAAAATTGCAATTTTACTAATTCAAAACTTTGGCATAACTACATGGGAAATCATGTGTGCCTCTCATGTCCCTCAGTTATAAAAATCAAAAGTGTGTGCATGTTTCCTAGTGGAATACAAACATTTCCGAATTACTTTTTTTCCTCATGAGTGAAAAAAGCAAGCTGACAAGCAAATAGGTTTTATTCCCAAGGAATAAATTATGAGACTGCTGATTTCCTGACATCATATCTACAATTTTTTGGTTTAAAATGAAAAAGATTATTTATTTGCCATATACTGTATTTGCCACAGTGGCATAAGAATTTGTATATAGCATATAACAGATGATAGATGCCAGAAAATACAGCAAAATGGTCTTAGACCTAAATTTTTAGTCAATTTTCAGATGTTTGGATATATTTTTTTTTAATTAATATTTTTACAGCATGCAAAACAAAATGGCTAGTTACAGACATAAAGGATTGTATTGGTTCCTAACATTATAATTATCTGAATCTTATCATCTCTCATGTCTTAAAGCCAGACTTTGATTGTATTGTATTTTCTTAATACAATATTGAATACTTTTAATTACACTTTATCTAAAAAAATATATATATATTTTAAAGAAGTTCTATTAAATAGTGCCATTAAATACTATTTAAGAGAATTCTGATAAACCGTTTTGTAAATGTTGCATAATTTAGTACATTTCACATGATTTTCTTAAGTATACTGTACTAAAAATCTTTTAAATTATTACAAAATTTTATGTAAAAAAAAAAGGAGATACCACATATTTACAGTGTGGATATGTTTTATTTTGATATGAGTAAATAAAAAAAATCCGACTTTAAGATTTCATGACCTTAGTATTCTCCATTCATTCTTATCCTTAGAGAACCTAACAATGCTAAAGTCCTGGCTTGTTTTGGGCTTGTGGAGATGTGACATTGCTACAGTACAGACTCTTAGCCTGTGACAGGGTCAATATTAGCTAGTATCTCAGGAAGAGATTCTATATTTGAATGGTTGGCGTGAAGTTGCTAAGATTGATTCATCGTGTCTCAGGAGACTCACACAATCGCTCCAACGAAGACGGCTCTGAGACTACAATATGCAGAGCTTCGCTCGCTCCACAGCATGGCAAAGGCACAAGGCTTTCTGGCGGATATAATGTGTAAGCTGTCCAAATTTGCGTAAATGCTACGATTAGTTACCGAAGAGTTTCTTTTTTCGGCGGTCAGTGGGTTCAACTGTGCCGCAGAGACCCACGCCAGGCTTTGACACAAAAGAGCCTGTGGGGAAATTGGCTTACTTACATTGAAGTTGAGCTGTGCTTTTATGGAAATCACTCTTGTAGATATGACTACACAGTGCGAAAAAGAAAAGAATAAACAATGACACAAATATCCAGCCTGTTCTAGTGTGCTAGAAATATCCAGCCTCAGTGCTTCAGTTCAGTGAGAACATCCCTGCAGTATTTATATAGGAGTTAAAAAATATTCAGAATTAGAGAAAAAAAAAAAAGATTGTGTTTGTAGCTCAAAGCCCAGGTGCAGCATTAATGTGCAGGCATGTGATCATTTCTTCTCCGTGTGTGTTCATGGAGAGTCTTTATCCATCAATAGCCAATAATTACGCTATTATCTCTAATAATACCATTTAGGGAGATGTGCACTGAGCTATGTCAAAACCTTACACCTGGAAGGAACCTCCTTTTTCCAACTACCTATAAGGCAGCAGCCACACACACACACACACACACACACACACACACACACACACACACACACACACACACACACAAAAGTTTTCCATTTGAGAACCAGCTAAATGTCTCCACAAGGTAAGATTTTCCTATCCTTGTGGGGGCATTTTGTATCACTAGACTTCTGAGAACACACACACACACCTTTTGACCTTCCAGCTAATAAATCCATTGTCTCGACCTAAGCTTTTCAAATAAAAACTGCAGTTTTTGTAAAAAGTAGTTTTCCTTTTAGGGATCAACCATATACACTATAAGGTCAAAACCTACACACACACACACACAGACCTGTGTCTTACTATCCTTGTGTGGATACTACACCTTCCGTGTGTGTGTGTGTGTGTGTGTGTGTGTGTGTGTGCATTCCTATCTTTGTGGGAACCTTTGGTCTATGCCAAGTTATAAAAACATGCTTGCCCACACACACACATGCACACACATTTTACAAATGTATTGGGCCAATGGGACATCGCTTGTGCTTGAATGCAATGTGTCCACATGCTCACAGACAGTGCACAGTAAATAATTTACACTAAAACATTTTTTATAAATGAGTGTTTTTGTGTCCACTCAAAATTCCGACCCCTTCAAATTTTTATTAGCTAATAATAACTCCACGCAAAGTAAGAGAAAAAACATACTTTGTACACCTTATTTTTTCATTTTGACCTTTGAACTTCTCTCTACAATTGTCACATGCCATGATATATTTATTTATTTATTTTTATTTCTTAGTAAGACATCTTTTGCTGGAGTTACTGATTCAGGATCTTTCCTTTGCCTTAGCACATAAAAATGAAATATTCACCTTTAAGTTTGTTAAATTAGCTAGTTAATTTTTGTAATATATCTATTTTATATTAGCTGGTTACGTTTTGTTTTCATTGCTAATGTGCCTTAGCATTCATTCCAATGAGGTTATTAAATATTAGCTAATCCGCAAGCCAAATTCTAGGTTTGTCATCTTAGCATAATATTTACCTTATTACTGATTGCTTAGTGAACTAGCTAGTCACGCAGGGTCGGGCATGATGAATATACGGTCAGCTCTTTTCGTTCGTTAATGTTATTTATTTCTTATTTGAGTATGTTTAATTGTACTTTCACTCAAGTAGTTTACTCAAGAGTAAAATTCTGACATAGTACTCATCCTTTTACTTAAGTATTTTTTCCACCCCTGCAAAATATATCAGCAAAAACTCCATATAGTCCATTTTATTGTGGCATTTCACCATTTCATGCATAAATATGAATGGTGTTGCGTCCTGGGCAACAGTAATATCAATGAAAAATGAACTGATCTCATTAAGTTAGACAAAAGCGTATAAGCACCACAATGCATCTGCAATCAGGACCTCTCATGAATTGTTTAATGCATGCACTAGTTATGATGTGCTCTTTATGAGGGATGCAGTTGAGAGCCAAATTACTATTCATTGTACATGTAAGCCAACTAATGCATAATTTACTGAGTGAGCTATATAATGTTCTTGCCCATACTGT